TGTGCCTGCGCAGCGGCCGTGTAAGGCACAAAAAAGGAGTTTTCGCGGGATTATATAGGGATACATAGTGATTCTATTGTAGCGGAGAATCAAATGGAGGAGAGAGTGGAACATGGAACAGAGGGTGGGATTGTTTGGTGGTTTATGAGGGCTAGGGCTAGGGTGTTTTACTTCTGATCAGTAGGGAATGAAGTGCATTGAAGCCAGTATAGTATTAGGTCCTGTAGGGGCGCTCGGGCAACACACGATCAGCATGCGTAAAAAGATACGGCTCGCAAAATATTTGCATCATGCTGCTGGCTAGCGGCCTGGATGGCGTTTGCATCACGGATTGTTGGGCTCGAAGATGCAAGTCTCATATGACTCGTTTGATCAATCATACTTACAATCAAGGACCTTCGGAATGGCCTGAGCGCTTGCGTGGGCATGCACTTGTGCCAGGCATTTGGCAAGGGGGAGCATTACTGGCATGGAGAAGGATATTGGTCTGTCACGTATGAGGAGCGAAATCTCGGAAACTCCCAGGCTGCCTTGCAATGCCTTGCAGATCACGTGCTCTTGGTGCTAGGAATGCAGTCAGATCACAAAGTCCCAGCAAGTTCGAGGGAGCGCTTTTGCATGCATCGAGGCAGACAGCTGTGATTTTGAAACACAACTTGATTCCTCGTGCCTGCAGTTTAAGAAACCCAGCAAGCGCAAGGCCTGTGTTCCGGACCTCTTTGTGGGGGACTGAGCGTCGAGGTGGCTCAGTGCCTGGACTGCGAACTGCTCCTTTGAGGCAACAAACCTGCTCCTTTTCCTGCCCACTGGTGGACCAGAGAGCGAGTGGGCAGCAATCCGTAGAGTGCTGCATGCCGCAATGCTGGACCGAGGCGATGACCAATAGCTAGGGATGGCTGCGCAGAGCAAGTCCCACAAAGTCCAATACCATGGGACCACCATCGTCTGTCACTGCTCTTGACCAGGTGCCTATCAGTATTCCGAGCGTCTGCAGAAGCTGAGCTCGCAACTGGCTCTAGATTGGCCCAAGCCGCAGTTGACAGAGCCAGCCTCAGTGCAGGAGCAGGACTGGCTTAAGGGCACAAGCACAGCTGCTCTGAGGACTTCAGTGATACCCCGCGCTTGCGACTTATGGCAGCTTGGCAGCCTTCCTTTAACATCATGTCGTTTTTTTGGATGTGCGGCTGAAGTTGCTGTGGGGCATCTTCAGATCAGGTGGTGAAGTCTGTCTTCTTCATGATCTTCGGCATCTGGCTTGATGACCAGGATGCGCAGATCTTGCGAGGTTGGCGTGATGGAGCAGTGTAGCTCGGCCGAAAACCTGAAACACTGGTGTAGAGGCCATTTTAGAGCCAGAGTGCAGAAGCAAGGTTCTTTGTGCTCCCTCGGTTGATCCATCGCTTCGTCTTTAACTTCCTCATCCGCAAGGCACATCACATCCTGCATGAAGCTTGGTGCATCAGCTTTTAGCACCGGTCCATCTGCAAGGTGAAGCAACTCCGAATAGACACCGTCTCTTGGTTTTACTTAAGCCGCTTAAGCCGCTTCTGAGCTTCTGCTGAAATCATGCTTTGGTGCTTCTTTCTTGCAGAAAGGGGTTGCAGGGCAGAGCGCTGTGTGTGGTTTGGCCGCTCTGAAGCCTGAAGCCAAAGCTTACAAATGCAGCATGGATGTCGGTTGCAAGTAGGGCTTCAACAGATACTTCAGCTTAGTCTTCATGTTACAAGGTTGGTGTCATTGAGAAGCTTGGGTTGCAGCAAATGTTCGTGGACATGAACAAGAACTTGCCTGAGAAGTACCGCAGGCGCAGGGACGGCTAGGAGGGTACTGTCGTAGCTGGGAGCCAGCCCTGATTTGGGCCAGCTTTGGATTGCAGCATGGCGCTGCTTTCAGAGCTATACAGACTTGCAGCAAATATGACAGATGCGCCCCTGCAGGCCGACCGACGTAAAGCTTTGCGATGAAATCATGTACCGCAGATGCAGTCAGAGCTTTATGTCAGATCGAGGATCCGTCTTCAAAACACTGGACGGGAGTGTGGCCAGAACAGGGCGGTTCTAGCCTTCACCTGACCTAGCCGTGTCTTCAGAACTTCAGATCATAGCTGCTTCGCAGAGCAGGTTTGCAGTGGGCTTTGCTGGTGTTGGTGGAACGAGCGCGGCCTGTGAGACGATCGGAGCTTTCCTTCAGAGTTGCTTCGGCCGCAAGATTCTGCAACTTCCAGCAGCTGTTTGCCGCAGGTAATTCTGAGTGATGCCTCTTTGAGAGACTGTGCCCTGCAACATGGAGGAAAAATCCCGGAAGAAGCCAGCGCAAGCCTCATCAGCTTCGAGAAGCTGCACGGCTGCAAACTTGTGCACGTAGTGAACTTGACGCGGCCACGTTTGCAAGCTGCTTCATGTGCTACCGGCAGTCTGCCGGTGCTGTCCTGTCAGCCTCTGTTGGCTCCATGTGTCCTTCTTCGTCCGTTAGGCCCGAAAGGTCCCATTGCGCTGCAAGCCTCCGCCATTCAAGGGCTGGATACCCGGCCTTGGGATGGGAAATCCGCGATACGGGACGGTGGCAAACTGGTGCTGGGACCACTGGGACCGGTGGGATTGCGATTTGGGGCAGCGTCAGAGAACCTAGCCTTGATGACATGATGTGATTCAACATCATGCCACCCTGAGCCGCAGACTTGCTTCACCAATGATGGGAAAAGTGGCGCTGCCACAAAAGGTGTAGGGGTCTGCCTGCTGGAGTTGTTTGCGGCCGTTGCTGTCTTTGTCTGCGAGTGACATTCTTCCAAGGTACCCCACCGTCGAGGACATGGTTGCAGCCTACAAACAGAACCCGGTGAAGTACATCAAGGCAGGGCTGCGACGCTTCTGCGACAGCAGCAATCCACAGCATGCTGCTGGCACTCGCAGGAGGCTTGCCGCATCGACCCTCCCGTGACGAGCTGCACACGAGTAGATCCTACAGAGAGGGTTGGTAGCTCAGGGCCAGTTCTTGTTCAACTCTTTTGCTGCAATAGAGATGGTCGCAATGAATATAGATCCGCTGAACCAGCTTACAGCTTCAGAGACGGGCAAGCAGCATCTGAAGTTGCCTTGCTTGGTAGAATTGACAAGCTGTTGGTGGTGACTGAGGAGCTCAAATTCCTCGGCATCCCGTACAAAATGCAAGCAAACACGTTGAACCAGTATGTCATCTCGATGGCGAATCGTGACACAAAGATCTTTGAGAACCCAAGCGTTTTTGATCCAACTCGAAAGGACTGCCGGATTTGAGAAGCAAGCTCCTAGCTTGCACGTGTGTGCACCAACGCCAGCCGCACAAGTCCTTGTAAGATCGGATAGCTCCGGGAGCCTCAAGCGGGGGGTCCCGTCATAAGGATCCCTGAGCTTTAAACCCTAAACCCTATAGTACTTGGGGGTCTATATTGAGGGGTCCCCCTGCTTGAAGGAGCTTGTGCAGACATGTTATGTGTAAAAGTTGTGTAAAGCAATGGGCTGCTTGCCAGCTGAGCGGTAATCGGCTGATCTGGCCTTGCCTAGTAAGGCAGAGCATCACCACTCACAGGCTTCAATCAACCAATCAATCAATCAATATTCAATCAATATTCAATCAATCAATCAATCGTATTTTCAAGCAGGAGCTGGACATGGCCTTGACTTGGAACGGCGCTTTTGGGACCGCGAACGAGGTGAATGGGAGAGGGCTTCAGCTTGGGGAAGGGGCATGATTAGGTAGTTTCCCTGAATGGGGGGACCCTTATAGAGACCCCAAAATACACTAGTCCTTGACATAGGGACACCCCAAAATGTACCCCTAACTTTGGGAAACTGAAGCTCAGTACAACATTCCATGTTGCGGCACTCAGACCCCATTCCCTTCCAAAAGGATGCTGGCGAGAGTGCGTGGTCCCATGTCGCGGGCTCCTATTCGTGCCGCCAGGAGACCGTGTACCCACGCATTTGTCCTGGCCGCTTCCTGGCTCTGGATGTCGTACAGGCTATCGTGCCTCCCGGCTCTCAAAGCCTGGCAAAAGTGTCAATGACAGGCTGAATGTCTTACCGTTAATTCTTGGGCGGTTTGAAGTATTCATACTTTCACGCGAACTGGGGTGTCCATATACAGCACGCCAAAGGTCAAAATAAAGTGAGCATCCCGATCTCACTTCACTTTCCGACGCTGCATGGGTGTAGCAGGCGAGCCTGATTAATCAAACCTTGTCTTCTGGGCTTATGCAATGTATGGGATGAAGTAGGTGACAGTCTGCACTGTCCGCCCCATCATCAGCTGCATGTGTGCCAAGGGGGCACGTGCTCCAAGTCAAGGACTGGGAACAAATTTATTGCTGTGAGATGGTGGATTGTGCACGCCGTGTTAAAGCAGCCGGCTCACCTAACCAGCTTGCAGGTCATTTTCATCTGAGACACTTGTCAGGAAGATGGAAAAGATGCGCGAATGTTCTGCTGACAACGCAGTCCTAGCAATGGCTTTGTGCCACTGAGCTCGCAGATGGAGAGCAGAGTGCTTTCTTGGGAAGTCGCTTACAACCAATGGTGGTTGCTGCTCTGTAATGAGGTTTGCTGCTGGTAGCTCGGGTTTTTCCAGCACTTTGCCAACTTAATTGCTCCCAAGGCTTTGAGACCGAAGCCATGGGTCTACAGTGTTCCGGCTCCTGCAGATCTTAGTCAGGACTGCGAACCTTGGCGTGGCACAGATGTCGCAGCCTTGCCCCACGGGCGGCAAGTGGCTTTGATTCTGTTGCTCTGCGCTGGGGCCTGAAAACCGCTTCGTGGCGAGATGAACATCGCCTTTACACAACAATGTTTTAAAAGTCCTTGTCGAGTTCGCGGGACTCCATGCTCCGTGCCAGTGTTGATTGCAGTGATTGCAGTAAAGAAGGTGTCTTTCTTGGGGACTTGGCAACCTGTACTGCGCAGCTGCGACACGCTGCTTGCTTTCTGCGCTGCAGTTAGGAGGAAACGGATCCTGTGGGCAGTTGGAAGAAGTCTGTGCTGTTTCAGGCTTCTCTTGTGATGATAATGACACCTTTGTTGACCCAAGTGGAGCATCCACAAGCCAACTGACCAGATGTTTGCCCTCCGCATGCGTTCCTGGCAACATCAGTCACGCAAGCTGCAGACTTTGTTGTTAGAGTTGCCCTCTGCACAAAGATGCAAAAATCGCTGTCCGTGTTCTGCTCCAAGCTTTGATCCATGGCTCGCAGGGGCGGCCCTTACAGCAAGTATGTCCAGGGAGTTTGGGTTTTGCGCCTTCTGCCGTCTCCCCGGGGTTTAGTCCTGTGCCTTACGGCATGGGCCGCTGCAGGTACCACTGAACTTTTGCCTGTACTCTTCACAGCGCCGGTTGTGTTGAAGCATAATGTTCCCAACGCAAGGTTACGACTTTCGGGTCGTGAGTGTTGCCCCCTACAGGTCAACATTCAAACAAGAATCATCATCCGTCTCAAGGTCCGCAATCCTCTTTGCCATGCGCCACCCGCACGCAAGAGGCCTGGCTTTTGGAAAGGCCAGCTTTCAACTTTACTCCTTGGACGTATGCTTGGAGAGATGCAAATAAGAAGTGGCCATGCGCTGCTTGTAAACCCAACAGTTTCAATTCTCACAAATGAGGTCGTATCCTTGTACGATGTGCACGAAACATTTGAAAGGCCGCTGGCAATGATTTAATCTGTGCGCTCCGGAATCCTGACAAGTGCTGGCGTTTGTTGAGTTCACCGCCAGATGGCGATTGGCACTGCCTCTTGCCAGGCGGTTCTTGGTGATGGAGTTTGTCGACGGTGGCGAGCTTATTGACGTGGGCCGGCTCAGTTGCTGATGCCGATGATCTCTCGTTGAACTGGGTTGTGCAAAGCTTACCTGGTTGAGGAGATCGACCAAAAAGGTCCGCTGCCAGAACACGAGGCGTAGAGCTCAGAATCCCGGGGGTTCTTGAATCAGCCTTTCGTGCAGGTCCTGGCATTATGTGCACCCTTCAGGCCAGATATGTGTTTCTTCAGATCGTCCTTGGCGGCGGCCTTGGGTCTGTACTCCTTGACAGGAGAGATTCAGCTGTCTGGAGTGACAGGAAATGAAAGGCGGTGTTTCAGGCTGATGCGCTAGTGATAGAGAACTGCAGATATGAGGTCTCAGATACATTCACTCCAAGGGTGTGGCCAGAAACTTGGAAAAGAAGAGGGTAGTCAATGCACTTAACAATTTAAGCTTTCCATCTGAAGACGATCTCTTTATGTCAAGAAGTAATTGTTTCGGAGGTTCACAGAGATCTGAAGCTGGAGAATGTCTTGGTGGACAAAAACCTGTGAGGGCTCTCAGCTGGGTGCTTGAGCTGAACATCTTCTGCTTGGAGAGTTCTTCAGGTCTCAGCCAGGCCTTCTCCAGGTGAAGATCTCGGATTTCGGGCACTCCAAACTGGCTGCGGCCCCATCAGTGTTAGCATTGCACACTAGTACTCACCTCTTCTTCACGAGTCCAGAGCCTCTTAGGTGAATGATGGCTACAGCAGGCCTTGGTCACAGGCCCGCGAATGCTGCAGTTTTCTGACGCGTCTGGCTTTGCACGGGAACCAGTTGAAGATCCTTCGCAGCCATTTTGATCTCAGAGTTGCCCGCTTGTTTCCCATCCTTTGGCACACGATTGAGATGGCGGGAAACTTCAAGGCCAGCACTGCCGCGCTTGTCTTCAAACATGGCAGACCTGAGCACATGGAGCAAGCTCTAACAAACCCGATGTAGTAAGAACCTAGCAAGTTGCCCTGACGCAAGATTACTCGCTCGAAGAGGTCTGTGTCGTCGGCGGTGCGGGTGGCATCGGCCAGCCTCTAAGCATGCTGATGGCTATGGACCCGAACGTCTGGAGCCAAGTGAGGTGGATTGTTGCAGCAACCAACACGCTAGCATGCACAGTCGGCTCTCCGCGTCTATGAGCTGGTCTGTGCTGCGGGATTTTGTTGAGAAGATCGGGTTGCTGTCACCGGTGGTGTAAAGAAAGGCTCCTGACCTGGAAATACGACTCTAGAACGAAGCAACAAGTTTCACCTGCGGCGTGAAGAGGAAGGATGGATGGGAAGGGAGAAAACAAGAGACAAATGTGCAACAATCCCAGACCGGAGGAGGGTCCTCACGGTGGCAAGGGTGAGGTGGGGTGTATCAAGTGTACAGCCGCAGAGTGTCCTCAAGATTTACCACTGCACAAAACCCACACACCAGAACACAAGAGGATATGAGCATGCTATGCAGAGGACTGACAGGGACATTCATGCCATAGATGGTAAATGGAGCTACGAGGTCTACAGTATTGAGGAGGGCAAGGGGGAGGGGGGCACGGTGCACTTGCGGAGTGCATTGCTGTGGGATTCAGGGTGAACACTTCCATGTTGTATGTTTCATTTGTGCAAGGGTTGCTGTTTGCAATGCGTGCGCTGCAGCTACGTGTGTTTCACATTCAGGCATTTTTTGCTCCCATTCAGAAATGCCGGGGGGTTTGAGGTATCGGTTGCAAGAGCCAGCAAAAGCAAAGGGGAGGGGGTGGGCGGGGTGGAAGGCCCCTACATTTCACATAGGGCAAGGTGTGGAAAGACGGCGCCCCCCCCATTTTAGAGTGCTGCTGCAATTGGCGGGTGATGTTGCAGACATGCACGCTCAACATTGCCCGACCAACCTCAACCCTTGAAATCCGAGAAATTCCATGGCCTCGGTCATTTTACAGGTTTGTGCCAACCACTGCCCTAACCCGGAACCTTTCCCTGTAATTGGTTGTGCCAGGATCAGAGGGGAGAGGGGAGGAGAGGAGGGTGGGAGGGAGCTTGAATGGCCTTCCGAGGAGTGGGTTTGGGATGGAGCGTGCTGGGAGGGGGTGAAGGGGAGGTGGGTAGAGTCGTGCCCCCAGAATGACAGAGGCCTGGGGCCTATCTTTCCGATGTTTTGAAAACTCCGGCGTAGCTGCAAATGTTTCCCTATTTGCTATCGCCTGTGCAGTCCTGGGCTTGTTTGTCCACAGACGTCCGCGATTTCATCCCATGGGGTCAGACATGATGTAAGTTTCTTTGCGAATTCCTTACCAAGGTCTCTGAACTCTGCGTGTATGCCGCGACCTCAGCCAGCTAAAGCGTGTGCCAAGTGCTACGCCCAAGCAACGGGCTTGCCAGGCTCGGATCTTTCTCATTCACGCGCCCCTTTGCACTCCCATGTAAAATCTGGACGTCCGTGAGAGAAGTGCGCGGAAGCCGGCAATTGTTTCACCGACGACGCCGTAAGGGGGTAAGGCACATCCTAGCTGCTGATGTCAACAAACGCCAAGTCTTCCAGCTGAGGATCTGACCCTGGCCATGGTTCCGGCTGAGGGCGTCGCTGCTGACCTGTCGCATCTGAACAAGAAGTGCAAGGCTCTTTCCCAACCCTTCTCAGGGGCATGGGGAGCTCTTGGAGTGAGTGAACCCCTGGTGCAGGTCAAGGGCTATGCTTTCGACAAGGACGATAAGGCCATTGACAAGGTGCCAGACTTCTGAAATGTGAACGGCTGAAGTGTGCAAAGTGTTGGGCAATCAGTATGGGCTCTGCAGCGTTGCTTACAAATCTTGTGAGCCTTTGACAAACGGAGCCTGCTTTTCTAAACTGCTTTTGAAACATGATGCCAGTCGAGAACCCAGCCCAAATAATGGGCCAAGGAAATGCCTCCGATCCAACGAATTCAGAACTTGCTGACAGGCGGCCGAATGCCTCAGTGGCTGCAACCTGGTGCTGGTTCCGGCTGGAGTTCCCCGGAAGCCGGGCCAGGAGGGGCTTTTCGTGTGTGTGTGTGTGTGTGT